GAGGCTTGATTGGCAATTAAAAAAGAATGCCACATTGAGAGATGTTTTCTGGAGATTATTTACGATCGATGAGAATGTGTACTGCTCTCTTCTATTTCCATTTTATTAACATTAAAATCAGGTGGTACACACTCTGTGGTGGTAGTGGGAATAACTGATAGATATTATATCAAGTACCAATAATAAACTAGTGGTGAAAACTACGATTACATATATGGTTTTCTTAACTCTCTCCAGTCTTACTTTTATCGTACTCTCATTTTCGTTCTCGATTTTATTATTCTGACTCTTAAAGTAGAAATATTCAGCCAGAAGGGAGGAACCCTGCACGAGTACAAGAATAAACAGCGTATAATTAACAAATATCACTAAGCCTTCCAGGCTGTTATAGCAGTCAAAGATGTCGGCCATCTGACGATTTTCAGAAGTAATTTCCAATTAAATTTATAAAATACACTACTTTATACTTTTGTAATACAATAATGAAGTTGTGGGGGGGGAAATCTACAGTTGACCAAAAGGGTCCACTCGAAGACCTCATTAATGGAAATGCTATGAATAATATTCCCGAATTGAATATTTTTAGAGAATTTTCTATAGAAAATTATTAAATCTTCTAAATGACATTTTTGTAATACAATAATGAAGTTGTGGGGGGGGGAATCTACAGTTGACCAAAAGGGTCCACTCGAAGACCTCATTAATGGAAACGCTATGAATAATATTCCCGAATTGAATATTTTTAGAGAATTTTCTATAGAAAATTATTAAATCTTCTAAATGACATTTGCAATTAGCAAATCGCTATTTCCATTATTTTTATTCGATATTTCTACGTCCCTACAACCCCTACGTCAGGTAAAATTTTCCAATTTTTTCTATTCTTTTCATCTTTATTCAGTCGTCCGGCGATCTCTATCGAAAGTTTTTCGCCGAGTCAGTGGTTTTCGCTATTATTCGTCGAGCCATCAGAGATAAACGTACTGATAAAAACGTTGGAAATGAAAAAAAAAATAAAAAAGAAAGAGAGAAATTGAAATAGAAATAGAAGATTTAATAAAAAGTGGATAAAGCTACTTTGCTGGCATTGTGCCACCTTGTTAACACAGATTGCAATCGCATCCCGCGAATAATCGTTCAACCCCTCCTTATATTCGTCATATCTAGAGAACTTGTGGAGATGTTATGGATTATGCAGCTCAAGAATCATTGAATCCTACTGTCGTGAATCCTAATCGATCAACCCCTCCGACAAGGGAAGATAAACCGTATAGAATTATCGAATCAAACAAGACTTCACGTAAGAATCGAGGGGGAAAAATAAGAAATGACGA